GATACTTGACAACCATTTACTAAAAAGTAAATTATGATGATTGGATAGTGTATGGATAAATACATCACATTGTGTTACGTTCAATTATTCGACATAGCTGACATATAACATACACAGCCATGGTGGTATACAAGCAATCCATTAGCATGCAAGCTGTGCAATTGCAATGGTTGAAATGCTGTTAAACAGACCTATGTAAGCACCACACGCCAGACCCAAGACTGAATGAGCATAAAGCTGTTGGCAGTGCTGCAGCCGACAAGTGATTATCTACTGACAAGCCAATATGTTCTGTATATTTGATATATGGACTGGCATAATTCACAAATGTCAATACACCATTAATCATCATATTGATTGAACTGGATTCACAGCAGTTTGAGTTGGATGTTGTGTTGGATAGTAAAATACAATTGACATGGCATGTGTGATAATATGGATAAATTGGTTAATCTACAAATTCGTTGCTTTATTTGTTCTAAATATATACCTCGATTTCGTTATCTTGCTTGATATCAAGCATTTTAATAAAAGCATAGCATATGGATGCAAGAATATCAAGCATTAGTATTGCCAGTCAAGACCATCAAGGTATAAAAATGAGTTGTCAGCCACTATCAAACATCATCAGACTGCTACAAATCAACAACTCAATCCGTATAGTATTGATACGCTTGCCAAATACAGTTCGATAGTATACTGCAGCCACGATGAAATTTTCACTACTAGCCATTGCTTCTGCTGCGTTCGTTGTCAATGCTCAAGAAAATAAATCTGGTATGCAAATCTGTTGATCAGTCTATTTTATGTTGGGTTTGTCAATGTTTGGATTGTGCAATCATTCAAAACTTACTAATTGGCATACATTATAGAATCCATGCCTAAATGGGCCTTTATCAAAGAACACCGTGACGCTGGCAGATTTGTTTTTATGCCATACACTGACGAACAACGAAACGTCGTGCTGACCAATGTTGAAAATGGTTTGAAATTGTGGACCAACTATGAATCTAAAATCAAGAATTATGGTGAGCGTGCCGATCCCTTCCCGATCATCAAGAAACTGCGTGCAAAACTAGATGCATCCAATCTTACCGATACTGAGATGCAGATTGAACTCTTGAATGCGTTTATTCTTGCGCGTGATTATCATACCCATTTTTCACCGTCTGGACCATATTCTTGTTTCAATGCCATGACTGGTCTTTCTTTCAGATTTATCGAGGGCGATGCAGATATGATCAACAAACCAACCGTTGTTTTTGAAAGATTTCAAAGCGATCAAGGTTTGCGTGCTTTTTTTGGAAAGGACTATGACCAGATCAAAGTTGGCGACGAATTACTTCTTGTTGATGGTATGACGTTTGTTGACTATCGGAACTTGAACCAGGACAAAACAGGTGGTGCCAATGATTATGGTGGCCAGCATGGTGCTCTTAAGTACATGACGTCTCGTTTTGGTGTATACACTCCTTTGCCAGAAACTGATACGATCAAATATCAGTTCAAATCAAAAGACACTGGAAAAGTGTACGACATTGAAGCTCCGTGGGTGGTTTATTTTGATTCATCATGCTGGAATATTACTAGTCAATTGTATGCCAAAATTTCTGGAAAAACTCTACCTGGAACACCTCAGCCTGCCAACTCTAGCAGTATAATTGACGCTGGCGTTGATGTTTCCGATACTGGAGCCAAACCTCAACTCGAAACTCAGAAAGAAGTCAAGACTCCATCGATGGTATCCGAGCATGACCATAAAAAGCAAAAGACTGGTCAAATTTTACTTGAACAGCCATCAAAAAACCATACTCTCGAATACCAAAACGCCAACGTGTCTACTATCAGCTGGGCAATCTGGAAACCCGAATCCAAGAATCTTGGTATTATTAGATTGGAGGATTTTATGCCAAAAAATCTTAAAACTGATGCACCAGCAGATGTGGAGGCTGTTCGTGAAATTCACAAACTTCTGAGCACTGTACTCAAAAACACCAATGCTGTTATATTTGATATCCGTGCAAATGGAGGTGGTAGTGGTGAGTTTGCTAATGCCATTCCACAACTTTTCAAACCCGATTTTCAACCAACGCAAGTAAGATACTTGATGAACTCTGTCACATACAACACTCTGGTTAATGGCACGTACTTTTTTGACACTTCTGGTCCAGCATGGTACAATACTCCACCTGGTAGCAAGTATTCTATTGATCATGACAGAACTTCGTATAATCAGTCAAACATGTATGGTCAAGCCTATCTCAAACCTGTTGGTGCATTTACTAATGCCATGTGCTACTCTGCATGCGAAGTGTTTTCAGCAGCACTTCAGTCGTCCGAAACTGGCTATATTTTTGGTGAAGATGGAACAACTGGAGGTGGTGGTGCCGACATGTTTTTGCTTGATTCACGACTCCTTGTGTTTAATCCCGTTGATTTTAAGCCAATGCCGTATTACAAAGAACTAACCGACGAAACAACTGGACAGAGCTATGCCAATGTTCTTAAAATCGGAGCTCGACAGATGATACGTAATGGAAAACAGCAAGGTCAATTGATCGAAGATACCGGTGTCGTATCCGACTATATTGTACGTCCCCGTTTGACGGATTTATTGCCTGGATCCACTGAAAATTCTCAATTCGACCGTATTGCCGATCAGCTCAAAACATTGGGTGCCAAAACTGGACTGAACAACCTTCACTTTGTTTCTGAACGTATCAATTACTACATTACTAGCGGTGACGTGACCATTGATGTAGAAGTCAAGGGAATCAATCAACTGTCAGTTATTGACGACACTGGCAAATCACTTTCAGTTGCCAAGTTTAAAAGCGACATAAAAAGTCAACACTCGTTCAAACTGGCATCTGTAATCAACGATCTTGGTAATACTCGAGTCAGTATCATTGGCCAAAACAACGGCAAACAGGTTCTCAAAACACATAAGCATATCAGTCGCACTCCAAAACAAAAAGATTATTTTAAGCTTGAACGTGGTGTCAAATGGGAGTTTAATGGTACCAGTAAATCGGTTGGAATATACAACTCGCCATTTACCAAAAAGTCACAGGGATGGAATTCGATCAATGGTAAATGGGTTGTTGGCGACGGAGTACAATACAGTCCTGCAATAGAGACTGAGATCCGATCATACTATACTGCACCAGTTGGATCCAACATTACTGTTGAAATTGATGCCGCGCTTGAATCACAGTTTTATAGCGACTTTTTAAGCTTGTATATTGTATATGCGGATGGCAATGTAAAATCGCTTTTGAATACGCTTGGTCCAGAGGGTAATATACTTATAGATGGTATTTCTGGCTCCGAAGCACTTGTGAAAAAGTTTACACTGACAACCAAGACGAAACAGTTTTTTGTTAATCTCGTGCTCAAGTCAGATGTTGCTACACAGATGAAAGGAGCAACAATCAATTATTGGAGTGTTACCATGAATTGAAATGGGTTGTAAATGTTTCTGAATGTATGATTAATTGCACCATCAGATCATGTTTGAATAAATATAGTACTTGCATAACTATCCTATACACTATTGTTTAAATTTATTTCAATCAACACATGTAAACTTTTTATTTGGTCGAGTGAAATATGCAAGTTTCAAACCATTTTTTAAATTGGACTGGTTTTGTTATGGATGGAATATTGCAAGTGTTTTTAAACTTGTCAGGTTTTTGTATTTTCTGGTGTTTTAGACATTTGAATGAAAGTTGATATTGGATATTTACCATACCAATCAGAGTTGTCATGGTTGTTAATGAAACCCAGTACAGATCTGGATAAAACCGCATTTAAACCTGCATTTTCAATGGTTTGATGCGACATGAAATCATTTGAGTTGATAATGGTCATTGCACTATTGTCTTGTTCTTGTTCTTGGACTCTTTCACTGGTTTTTTTAGCTTTCATAGCCGGTCTCGAGTTGATTACTTGATTCGCATTTGGTTGATGATTTCAACTGGTATTTAGAACTATGGTTGTATTGACATCATTAAAGCAGCTGAGCCAAACATGTGGATTGCAATGGATGAGTTTGGTGATTGTATAATGTATGGTCATGCCACATGTGCACAAAGTGTAGATTCAACACTATAGTCTGATTGTGTGTCATATGATGGTTGTTGTATATCAAACATGCAATGCAGAATACAGTTACCATAGAATGAATATCAAATGATTCATTTTACACGAATACGGTTGTCAATACAACACCATCAATACCATGCTGCATATATTACATTGTAAACTGACATAAAACAACACTAATTGACCAATATCAAACCAGTTGATGGCACAATCTACATCCGACTTTGAACAAGTGTATTGATACGTTTGTTGTACAATACACGACATGGTCAGTTGGTGATATCATGCAACTGACAAGTGATTGCAAGTCTGACTGATAGTTACAATCAACACTGGTTGTTATCAAGTCATTAATATATATGTAATAAACCGTGTCAATGTATCAATCAACAATCCAATAACTGTCAATGTAATACCCAATACAATATACACAAACATGCAATACAAAATCAATATTATAATTTTTGGTTCATTTACAATACTCACAAATATCAACAAAATAAAGTTTAAAATTATTCAAAATCTTCGAGTTTCAAAAGCGTCTTCAAAATCCGATTCCGCTCCTGATTCTGCTTTTCCATCAAATCTTTCAATCGTTGTCTTGCCTTTACTATTCTGTCATTTGGTGAAATACACTCTTCTCTCAATATATTTTGGATTTCTGGCTTATGCTTTGGTTCAGATATCTTTTCGCCTCTTGCCAACGCTGACTTTTGTTTCAATTCAATAGTTACATAATCATAATAGGTTTGGCATTTCTCTCGTATTTCTCTAGACGTCTCGATTTCTTTCAAGTCAAGTGCGTTCTGATCTTGGGTCGATAGAGTCTTTTGATTTAAGCCAGTAGTGTCAGACTTGGATTTATCAGTTGGTTGTTTTCGACTTTGTTTGGGAGTACTTGGACTAGGTTGATTTACTGGCTGTTGCTGACCTTTTTTGCAAGTGTCAGAATTGATTAGATCCACTATGTCTTGCCATTGCTCTTCGGAAGTGCCTGGATCAAGTTTATCAGTTGGACGTTTTTGACCCTGGCTGCAAGTGTTTGAACTAGGTTGACCTATTGACTGTTGCTGACCTTTTTTGGGAGTATCCGAGTCAGCTATATCAAACAGTTCTTTCCAGTCATTGAGGGTGTCTGAACCAACTTCATCTATTAGGTATTGCCAATATTTGTCGGAGATGCTTAGACCGGGTTGAATAACTATGTTTTGCCAGTTTTGGTCAGAAGTGTTTGGACTGGGTTCATTAGTTGGACCAGACACTTGACTGGAAGTGCCTGATGTTTGGGATGGACTATTGTTATCAGTCGGTATCAGTATTGCATTAGCGGTTGCTGTCGCACTCAGTACGAGTAAAATATCAACCAATTTCATCAGATTGATCAATGGGTTTAAACAATTGGTACAAAAGTAGTGTTGAAACTGATGTTGATTATGAAACTCGAAGCAGTCGATTGTATTTGTGTTTTTGTATACCAAGCCAATCCTTTTAGGTTAACTCATGGCACAGAGTTATTTGGTTTTTGTGATGAACCAATATCAAATCACAGTATAATGTTATTCATAATATTCATAATATGATGCTTTTACGACCCTTTTATCAGGTATGTTGAAATCACACCCTTCATGAGTGTTGTTTAATCGCAAACGCTCCTTTTTACAATCGTATTCATGTAAAATGAATCATTTTGATATCCATCATGCAGTGACTGTGTTATGCATTGCAATATACAATGGTTACTACACATTGACTGCATTGTGTGTTTGATTATAACAACCATCATGACACACAATCAGACTATAATGTTGAATCTACACGTTGTGCACTCTTAGTAATCATACATTATACGATCACCAAGTTTGGACTCAGATTCATGTATTGCAATCGATATGTTGTGTTTGACTATCGATGTTGTCAATACAACTCTGTACATTTGTTGTGTTCTGAATCTCGAATACGATCGCGATCTAGTTCAACAACAATGGTTGTACATGTCAGTAATGTAACTGCTGTTTGCATGTCAATCACCAACAACAATACCGCTGTATTGTCAATCAGTCCACGACACTGTTATTTAGTGATCCATTTATGTCAATACGACTGCAAGTTGTCGTTATATGACGTATTCTGAGCATGGTTTTGATATTGCACATCCAGTTCCATCACATTGTTGCTAACCCATCATTGTAACACTGTATGTCACCATAATCATGAACATGGACATGAGCATGTGGTTTCACGTATAATATTACAACCACGCATGTCGTTGGTTGAATCATCACTACTAGTGTACAATACACTACACTACACTACATGTATGTTGGCATGCGGTGCACCAAGTTGGTTGCATTGCTACAATGTGGCATGCGTCAACCTGTTTGGATTACAGTTGTGCAACATATTGATACTGTACACATGACTATTGTTGGTATTGCATGTCAATACGACATGACAAGTAATATCATATCGACACAATACACAATGCATGTCAGTATCATCAATGTGTACAACTATGCAATATATGATCAACTGTATTGTGTTGGAAATACAAGTGTCAATGTACAATATGATATGATACCAACCAAGACTGTGTACAATGCATGTACATACAATATCAAATATCCAATATCAAATGGTAATTGTATCGTATCGTATTTTATTCAAATAAAAATGCAATCGAGTCAGTCGAAACCAGTTCAGATTAGCAATCAAATCAATCTGAATCTGAATCTTCATTTTCAAGTTGATTCCAGCCTGATCCAAGGTTATTTTTCATTTTGGAATAAGCTTTCCGTGAACGAGAATGAGATCTGGAAGTTTTTCGTGAACGAGAACGAGAATGGGATCTGGAAGATCTGGAAGTCTTTTGTGTGCTGGACGAAGTTGCCTGTGTACTGGATGATGTTTGAGTGGGTTGAACTGTAGACGTTTTGCTTGATGATGATGGACTTTTATGATGTTTTGATTTGTTCTGGGTTCCACTAGTAGATGGTTGCTCGGATCCCGACTGTTGGCTTAGTCGGAGAATAAGAGATTGATAGATATTTTTAACAAAATTGCGATTTGATTTTAGATATCTCCTGTATGAATCCAGTGATGCTGTACTTGGATTATTTTTGAACAGGAGATCTGCAAGGTTTTCTCTGGCTAAATGAAGCAGCACACCAGCGCAATAAAGATCCTCATCGAGTTCCAGAAGCTTTTCTTGAAGGCTGAAGAATTTTTCGTCCTCTTCATCAACCTTCTGATTAATTATTTCTCTTTTTTCTTGATACACTGGATCACCCCTGTTCGGATATTTTAGTGACAGCTCGTAACTCTCTCCAAGCACGCGTTTTAACAATTCTTTTTGATTGAACTCTTCAGATTTGGCCGAGTCACGCGCTTTCTTTATCTCTTCATATTCTTGATCCGCTTGTAGGTATTCTTGGATCAGCCCCATATCATCCTCTGAAAATTTACTAAGATCAAGTGAAAATTCAGATCCTTCATAAGAAAGCACCCGATACTCAGATTTAGTACTTGTAGTTGCAGTGGGAGTGACGGTTGAAGTACTAGCTTCAGCACTTGTAGTTGCACTTGTAGTTGCACTGGGATTGACTGGTTTGGCTGTAGTGACTGAGCAAGCAAGCAGGATTGATGCCAATACTGTGACTGCGAGTTTCATTGTATTGGTTTGTATTGATCAAACAAGTTGTAATTATTGGTATTCAACAAGCAAGGCTGGATTGTATTTATATCCATTATTGGATGGATAATATTAAAAGCATGCTGGATGACCGTTTTAGGGATTGGCTTTATTATCAGGGTTGGTGTTGATTTGTTATTAATATCCAACTTTGAAGGGATATCCATTTATATAACAACTGCAATTTTGATCAAACTATTGTTTGACTATGCATTCGAGTATTATATGGTTGATTGTGTATCCCATCTTTTTCTAACCTAAAAAGGGTCAATATGCTGAAATATGAACAAATGCATGTTTAAACAAGACTATATGCAACTGAATGTCACTCAGTTGTTGGATGGTCATCAATATGTGTCGTGGTTTGGTAATACTTTCCATTCAACTCGACACGATCAGTCATCACTGCACATTGTCCAGTAATTCAATCAATCAACTGAATCAATACAATGCAGTTCATGTTGCAACCACAATGTCACATTGATGATCAATGACTTGCAACTGTTGTGTTGACATTGTATGTTGTGTTGCTATATCAACATCGATTGTCACTATATAGTTGTATCAACCACACATCATGATCATATGTCATGGTTGACTCGTATTCTGGATTGGTGCACTCATTCCATTCCACTCCACTCCATTCCATCACTCGAACACAAACATCGTATGACTTGTTGATTGCTAATACCCATATTGATCGAATGCACACTACATGACACATGTCAGGTTAGCGTATACATTCCACTATATAGCACATCATGTTGCTAATACCACGCATTGTGATTCAACAGTCAATCTGTATTCGAGTTCAACTACAATTGATCGTGTCAATCATAATATACACGACCAATTGTAGTCGAGTTGATCCGACTGAATAGAGTCCGAGTCATCATGTTCATATCAAACCATTGTAAACCATGACAAGTCTATTGCACAACTCCACAATCAATCACCAACGATCATGATTATACGCCCGCTCATATATGTATTTGTTGTATGCTGCTGTGATTCGAGTTCGGTCACTTGTCAATTCATCTCGATAGCGTTTGACTTCAGTTGGTGATTGAACACCTTGAATATACTGCGTGGCATCATTCCACAGTTCAGGCAGTATGTGTGTCTTGTCAAGACTCGAGTTGTACCATTGTGGTTGTTGTGGAGCCACATGCGCAGTCGAAACAATCCGACATGCTGGATTCACTACAAAAAATGTCAGAATCTTGCAGTGTCCTGGTTGAGTTGGATCTGCAAGTTCAAATGATTGTTCTTTGTGTTGATATCGATTGGGATAAACTACACATCGACCATTTGATGCTTCAAGCGATCCTATATACTGATTGCGTGGTGATTCTCGATCAATGCCATACACATCTTCCCAATACATATCAGATGCCATTTGACGATCAAACCGATCAACAGCCACGCGGAAATCGAGTTTGGGTGTGGTGATATTTTTCACATCGTAGTAATACAGTCCAGTTGCAACAATCGATTCGTTAGTTGGACCTTCAATGTGCCAGTTTCCCTCGTCGTATTTAGGTTTGGATGGTGTCAGTTGAATGTTGGTGAGTTTGACAGTGACTTGTAGATTACGACCACGCAGTGATACTGGCTTTGCTGATTCATATTTGTATTGGAAATGTTCCGGAAGTGTTGGTACATACACGGGACGAATGACTCGAGTGTCTGGTTCCATATCATCATGATCTGACTGGCTTGATGATTCATATCCCTTTGTGCGATTGCGAATATCAATATACTTGAACATTGGATCCATCGTTCTGAACAGGTTTTCAAACATTGGGACAAAACATTTGAATATTTTGGCAATACATTTGTACATGTCTCGATGCCATATCGGATTCAGATTGTTGATGTATGAGTTGATGGTCACACTGCCATCCTGTTCGACACGGAATTCACTCGGAAGACATTGGAACTTGCATGATATAAACTTGGGATCACCTTCAATGATGGGTGTATCTGAAACAAGTTGAGTCGATGACAATATATCGCATGGTACCATTGTGGTGTATTTGAGTCGTATATTCAGTGGTGCAATCATCGTTTGTCCATATACAACACTATACATTGATGCATCAATCAGATTGTGCACCATTTGACCAGTGTTGTGATTTGATCCATGTTCAATATCCGATACATTTGTCATCAATCGCGTGTATATATTGTCAGGTATGCCATTGTCCAGTATATACGTCTGTTCAACAGGTCCTGGGACAATCGTGCCCAATCCATCACTGCCACTACAAACAAGCTGCTTGACAAAAACCCCGAGTTGTTCCAATGCAAGATTAAATGTTGATGGTGATATATTCTGATCGAGTGAGTCAGCCCTCCATTGCTCCACAATATGCTGGTTTGTGATATCGATCCACCACATGGGTTTGCAAAGTATACATTGCAGATACTGGATATACCGCATTTCGACAAGTGTGCGTACCTGTCCATGTGTATCTCCGGCCATTCCAGATTTCATATCAATTTCGGCATTGTCGTCGTATGGCCAAATGCTTGAATTAGCAACATGAACCAGATGCTGGAAACACGTTTCAATGATCTGGCCAGCAATCCTTTTGTTTCTGTGGTCAGCAGTATTCGATTTTGCAACAGCCGTTAGATTTTCAAACATCCCGCCTTGTTCCAACTTGGTACGTATTGAACTGTCGGGGTGATTGTCGGCAAAATCAGCAAGTGTTTTGAGTAGGTTTACAATATCAGGAACAGGACTGTTACACAAACGTATATTTCTACATGAAATAATAGTATTGAGTTGCTTTACAATTCCATATTCTTGAAACGCCTTGATCATCTCGGCCTTGTTTTTAGATTTCTGAATCATGTCGCTGACATTATTAAACATATGTACAAATATTCCCCATACCGACATCACACATTGATATCGTCAATTGCTCAAAAACCAACGATCGTACAAGCGATACAGGAAACTCCCGCATATTGGATGCAATTGTTCCCGCTATCCAGATCATGCGTGTTTTTAGTGCAGAGTTGTCACTGTATTTGATACACAAGTCGTTCAGTGTTTGAATCAAATCCAGCCTCATCAACTCGGCTGAAATCACTTCACAACCTGCATGTTTGCATAAACTCCGAATAGCAGCAATGCTTTCATAAATCACTTCTTGATCGACACTCCTGTATTCATGTCATGTCAATCCAACCATGTCAAATTCATCAATTGTGATGACTGAACACACATTTATGCATAACAGTGTGTGATGTTGATATGTATGACTGTTTGTACCTGTTTGATCATGTCAACGACATGATTCAGAAATCTACAAACAAGGCCGAGATGATCAAGGTGTTTCGAGATTATGGAATTGTAAAGCAACTCAACACTATTATTTCATGTAGAAATATACGTTTGTGTAACAGTCCTGTTCCTGATATTGTAAACCTACTCAAAACACTTGCTGATTTTGCCGACAATCACCCCGACAGTTCAATACGTACCAAGTTGGAACAAGGCGGGATGTTTGAAAATCTAACGGCTATTGTACAATCGAATACTGCTGACCACAGAAACAAAAGGATTGCTGGCCAGATCATCGAAACGTGTTTCCAGCATCTGGTTCATGTTGCTAATTCAAGCATTTGGCCATACGACGACAATGCCGAAATTGATATGAAATCTGGAATGGCCGGAGATACACATGGACAGGTACGCACACTTGTCGAAATGCGGTATATCCAGTATCTGCAATGTATACTTTGCAAACCCATGTGGTGGATCGATATCACAAACCAGCATATTGTGGAGCAATGGAGGGCTGACTCACTCGATCAGAATATATCACCATCAACATTTAATCTTGCATTGGAACAACTCGAGTTTTTTGTCAAACAGTTTGTTTGTAATGGCAGTGATGGATTTGGCACAGTTATCCCAGGATCTGTTGAACTGACGTATATACTGGACAATGGCATACCTGACAATATATACACGCGATTGATGACAAATGTGTCGGATATTGAACATGGATCAAATCACAACACTGGTCAAATGGTGCACAATCTGATTGATGCATCAATGTACAGTGTTGTATATGGACAAACGATGATTGCACCACTGAATATACGACTCAAATACACCACAATGGTACCATGCGATATATTGTTATCGACTCGACTTGTTTCAGATACTGACATATTGTGTAGTATACAGACTACCATCACAAACATACCACTGCACTCATACACATTTGACAACCACACCCACAATCGATTGTCGAGTTTTTGACAATCAGTCGTGTACAGTATCGAGTCGGATGTTGACACTATTGATGCCACATGAAATGCAGTGACCGAGTTGCAAACACTTGATTGCAATTGAACTCATCGTTTAATCCAGCAATGTTTTGCAAATCAACATCCATAAACAAACCAACTGTCATGACATATCGATGTCATGATAACTGACAATGCAGCAGAATTCCATCAAAGTGTTGTTGATTGATAGTTTTGTTGGGTTTACCAATCGAGTATTGATCGTAGCCTGACAATCAAATACCGACACTACTGACATGACCATTGAGTCTGTATTGCATTGAGCAGGATTGTAGCACAATGCCATATCACTGGATCAAGTGTGTCAAAGCAGAGCCGTTTGAAGGATTTTACCACTGATATTTGGCCAGCTGTTGTGTGGATCAACCGTTACCTTATACTGACCGTAACCTGAAACTAACTGATCATGTCAATCGATCTTGGCATATTTTTTAGTAAATGGATCAGGGCTACCGGCCCTTGATTATGAGTTCTGCTTCACCCAATGGTTGAAGGGTTATATAAAAGGAAGCCTACACACGTATTTGTGCTATATATACCTGAACAGCGGCCAAGTTGTCCCTGCATAAGCTCATATAGCCCTTATGTCTTGATCATGTATTTAGCCACCATAAAAGTATTTAAATAAAAGTATGTTACATAGTCCATATTCACAACCGACCCGCTCATTACCAAGAATTGTCCTACTAATCAACAAGCTCTATCACATTCATTCTCGTCAACAAAATGAAATTTACATCGATTATTGTGCTGTCGCTATTGTCGATAACAGTCAGTGCAGTAGTCATTGATCGTCCGTCTTCCAGCGAATCAACGGCTATATCTAATAGGAAAATAGTAGAAGAATCTCTAGCTCGAATAAAGCAGCGTAAATGTAAATACGCTGGTGATTGTTCTTCAACCGGAACAGGACAACAGTCTACTGAAACCAACCATGACGTAGCTCAGTCGACCGTAGATCCTAATGATTCGGACAACTCTGTCAAACAGTCCAAACAGTCTAATGAATCATCGTCATCCTCTCAGTCTGAACAGTCTGATGATAATGATTGCTCTTTTTTTAATAGCCATATTTCAAAGAACGAACAGTCTAGTCTCACACCTCGACAAAAACTGGATAGGATCGAAAGAATGATGAGAAAAATAGGTATGGATATTCCAACTGGGGCTGAAGACACACGCAAGATAGACGCCGAGGTGAAACAAAGAGTACAAGAAACTAAAAAAAAGGGGCATATAATGGCTCCATCTGATAGAAGGAATCTAATGAGACTGAAACTAGAAAGATCATGGATTTGTTACAATTTGGAACTCGAGTCGTTCAATGAAATGTCGATAAACGCTGTATCTGAGCCTACTCCAGAAACATCCGAATCTACTTCTAAACCTCATGGCTCAAAACAGGGTTTTTTTAAAACCCATCAGTCAAAATCAAATCGTCAAGAAAATCAATCCACTTTATCAGCTTGGAAACTTAAACTCAAAATTAAGAAACCTAAACTACCAAAACTGACAGTGTATAGTAAATCAATGTTTGGAAACTAGACTGTTCAGTAGTTTTGGCGTCATCATCATGGCCGCCATTCAGGAGTTGATTAGCAAACTTGTAGCACTGCCAGCCTATATCCATGTGGGTGCAGGTTGCTCACATAGAATCATTTCGTATCATCATTCGAGTTTATTTTAAATAAATGCATTTAAAAAACTGTCTGATAACTCAATTGCATTGTATAACTGGGATCACGCTATCAATAAGCTTGTTTAGAATATGCTGTAGTGCAGGGTGTACTGTATAATGATTTATACTTGATTTGCATTTGGTTTGCAAGTATTCAATCTCGTTTGTCCAATAAACGCCTTTGATTGTCATTGTCATTATCAATTCAATAGTATGCTCGAATTGATCATATTACACCAATCGGTTACTGTGCACTGAATGTATCAGATGGTGTCATGAAGTATTGGACAATATTCATAATTAAAGTATCAGCAGTCAGTGATTGCATAATCAATTGGATGATACGATCGAATACCGCTGATCATTTTGTTGGTGTTGGTGGCCAATATCACATGTGTACAGTATCAATATGCTGCACAACTGTAATCCAAACAGGTCAACACATGCCACATTGTAGCAATGCAACCAACTTGGTACAACACATGTCAACATACATGTAGTGTAGTGTATTGTAGTGGTATGATCAACTTGACACCAACCAAACCACACTCGAATATATATGTTCCAGTCATGTGCATCGTGTATCGATTGTCAACTCACAATGTCAACTCCAACACATTCCACCATGATTATGCTCATGATCACATCACACCATGCTGATGTATGTCAATCGGTATCACATTGCAAATAACTGTCATCCAATGACTGCAATGCAATACCGTGCATGTATTGTGACTGATACGCTGTTCATCATCAACAAGTGTACAACTGTCACTCGATATATCGACTCTGATATGCAACAACATGCTGTGTTTACCATGATCAGGTTTTTGATCAATCTCGGACTCATGATACATGATTTGCCATGTTGGATCGTGTGGATGTGTCATGAACTGCAATTTAGTTGCAGACATATATATGTTTGACATTGACTGATGCATACTGTGCAACGACTGATCAGTGCGTGTGTGATTGCACACTTGGTGGTATTGTGCATTATGGTTGTTTGACAATGGATGAATGCTGGATTAATCGGTTATATGCAACCCATTTGAATCAACCTATTTGGACAAACACTCGATGCAACTGACAACAATGTGTATACATGGCTGTTGGATCAGTCGAGTTTGTGCTGGTAGCGTACCATTGGTAACAAACACTGTTTTGACACCATCACTGGGACTGTCATACAACAGTTTACCAACAAACTCGTTGTCAGAATATTCGGAGCTTTGTGATTTGTATAAATGTAGTAAAGTATAAAGTAATTAGAAAGTTGAAATAGTTTGAATAGTCGTTTATTGATAAGAGTAAGCATCTTAGCTTTATAGTAGTTGTTTGTCTTGTGATACGAACAAGTAGAATGTATGATGAGGCTGTAAACGAAAAGTAGTTGAGCCAATGGGATTGATTCCTGGAGTTGACTATGTCTACATAATGACACCATTTACTCATTACTTGGAACATGAATCTCCAAAAATGAGGATAATGGAGTTTGGAGCATATGGATTGGTGGTGATGAAGGGTTTAATTTGGAGATTCAAAGTGTGTGCTACTAGAATTAGCTTTGTCACAGATTACCACTTAGGAGTATCCGTCTGGATATTCCAACAGGAATTACTTAATTGCGAGAGAATCGGGACAAAAACCAGGTACTTGTACTAGTAGGAATCAAGTAACTCTATTGATAAAACTAGGGTTGATGATGAGAAGCTGTATGGTATATTTATAGACCTAGAGATGAGTACAGCTATGGAGGGTAAACATGAGTTCTTAGGGAGTCATGCGTCTGCGAGGCTGTAGTCATGATAGCTGATTTGAATGGCATGATCATCCATTGTGGTTCATGTACACGATGACAATCTGACCTGTTGACACGGCCAGTTTGTTGAACGACTTGCCAATCTCCAATTCAATTATAGTACAACGTCACTCATTCAGTGTATCGATAACAGATTGCCGAGTTTGATGTTGATCATGTTGTGACACAATCAGCAGTGTTTGATGTATACAGTCTACATTAACCTAAAATGATTGTGCAGTCATACCAATGGAAAAATCATGGTTTTGAAATATTGCAATAACAGGCTGTTGGATGCTGTTGTGTCCGAGTGATCCAAAACATGACCAATTAAACAATCAGTCAAATATTTGGTATACAGTGACAGTATGTGATGATAACTATCCATGATCAGAGTGACAATTTGAAACTACCTGGTTACTGAATATATGACCGCAATTGAAGAGATCAATGCAGCATACTACTGAGGTTGATTACACACTATCAACAATGCTTGTATATTGATCTACCCTACGGTGTGTATTTGGGTTTGCTCACCCTATATGGTGTATTTGGCTTTTTTTAAATATCCATTTGAAACTGTTGATGGTCACCCTTGAAACTGCCGTCATTATAAAACGACAGTCATGTATCAAATCCAAAGCCTTCCATTACACTACTCTATACAATGCTGATTACTCTAGAATGCATTCTACTTGCGTTGCAGGCGGTTGCTGCAGTTCGAGTTTCATTAGAATCACCTTTTGAAATTACCAGTCAATCAAGCAATAGGCTGTCAAAACGATCACCCGTTAGATTGCGTGGTGATATCACAAAATGTTACACAATTAAATCCAATGTTAATGGAGTTGATGTATGTATCATGTCATGCATTGTAATTTGATATCAGTTTGTACTAGGTCTAATCAATCTCACACTTGTTTAAAATAGTTGGGTTTACTAGTCGATTCAACAATGTCTGATACAATCGTACCACTTTCTAGTTCAAAAAATAGCGTAGGTTTGACTCCACAACACACTCCAAATGGGGAACCCGTTATTATAGATTACAGAGGCAAAGAGTACAGAGGAATTAGTTCCGATGCAGTTGTGACGATTCTGGGTACTGGAATAACTGACATCAATTTACCAGTAATAGCAGTTGAAAAACAATCGGCACGTCTAGCTGGTATCGATCCAAACTTTGATGGAGTATTCGGGTTTGGTTATCCCTCGTTGTCAAAGCATCATCCACCAACCACTGTGTTGGATACTTTGTACAGCAATAATGTCATTCCTAATAACGAGATTGGTATTCAACTATGTCCGTATGGCATGCGTTCAAAAAGCTTCATCAATATAGGAAATACGGAAATCACTGCAAAATGTGGAACGGATGGAAGGAGTGTTGCATGGGTAAATTCACCAACAAATGATCATCATACTGTCAACATCAAGAGTATACTAGTCAATGACGAACCAGTGGATCTGCCCGAGGAATTCCAGCAAGTTGTCAAAGATGACCATACTTTGTACTCCGTTGTGGAAACATGTTCTACATATATGTATTTCCCTAAAGTAGTCGTGACAGCGTTGGTCAAGGCTATTGTTGATAGTGATGCGATTACTATCAAAAAAAATATATTCAAGGACGAACGCAAACTCACCCCGGAAGAAATTGATGACATATTTTGGAAGCACTATCTAATGGTTAGATCCAATTTTCATATCGATTGGATCAAGCTGCCGACATTTACCATTACAATGTATGCTCAAACCCCCGTAACTGATGACAATCACGATTCCGTCGTAAAGATCAAATTGGGTCCCAAAGACTATATACAAAGAGTTGATTATACACATAGTAAATATTTGACAATTGTATGCAATATGTGTTGTTTGATTAACCTGACTGATATACCTGTTGAATTATAGACATGTTTGCTGTAAAAGTTGGCTCAAATGACAAAGCAATTCTTGGTATACCATTTATGACCCAACTTGAATTGACATTTGATTTACAAAATATACGCATTGGGTTTGGTCCTGGATGTGGATGTGAAACTGCAAGTAACAGGTATCCTACTATTTCAAACGGTGATCAGGTACTCTGGCCATTACCACAGTAAGTCGTTTGATATTGATATGTGAATGTGTTGATTGATATATTGATCATGAATTTGATGGGTACTGTTAGATTGCCTGAACAACCAAGTACTTCAAGTTCAGATGGCAGATCTGGTCTCAGGAGATCATTGTCGCGATTTGGTAGTATTCGTCGTGGTAGTAAGCATTCAAAGGCCACTCACAAGAAAACTGATGACTAAACAGATATATCAATAAAACCGGTTATTTGTTGAATGGATGATGACCATGATTATTTTATAGTTGGTATGATGTACGCCAGGACTCTTGGTGTTAATCATCATCAACTACAACTGATCAAATAGTTGTACCTGAAAACACCCACGACACTGTCAAGAGTCACAAACAGACTCTCAATAAACTCGACTGAATACAATTCATTAGTGACAAAGTGATACTATATGTATATTTAATGTGGTGTGTTCATGTTTGATTGTGTGATATGTTCAAGCCGTGCATGTATTGGATCAGTCCAGTGTGTATCGTAGTTGTTTGATACACGATGATCACACATACTATTGCATTAGTAATACATGGTATTGATTGAATACACATCATGATCGCATAGCTCAGTCACGATCCAATTGACACAAACAGTCGAGTCGTGTAGTTTGGTTTCAGCTTGACACATTTGTATTGTCAATTGGACAAATGTCAAAAGTGAATCAATGTCGACTGAAACAACCAACAGACTGGATCTAGTATGTGTAGTCGCACTGGGCTGCATATACTGATCACAGTAAACAACTCGAGTGTCGTTTTACTAGTTGTGGTTATGATGACATGCCAGTGTTTGATACATACATCGTTACAATGATGGGTCAGCAACAATGCGATGGAACTGGATGTGCAATATTAAAACCGTGTGCAGAATGCATGATATAACGACAATTTTCAGCCATATTGATGTGAATAAACCACTAAATAACAGTGTCGGTGTGTAATAAACAATCAGTGTCATTGTTGGTGATGATTGGCATACAAACAACAGTTGCATTACTGACATGTGTCATGATTGTTGTTGAACTAGATTGCGATCGTATCCGAGATTCAGAACACAATAAATGTGTGTACAGAGTTGTATTGACAACATTGACAGTCCAGCACAACACATGAATATGGGTTCAAACTTGGTGATTGTGCAATGCATGGTTACTAAGAGTGCACAAAGTGTAGATTCAACATTATAGTCTGATTGTGTGTCATATGATGATTGTTGTAATCAAATACGAAATGCAGTCAATGTGTAGTAATCATTGTATGTTGCAATGCATAACACAGTCATTGCATGAGAATACTGGAGTGAACCATTTGACATGAATACGGTTGTAAATCAAAGCGTTTGTGGCTGCACAACACTCATGAAGGGTGTGCTTTTCAATATACCTGATAAAAGGGTCGTAAAAGCATAATTCAATCAACACGATCATCAAATTGATCAATATGATATTGTGATTAGGGAGCAGCATACTGTCTAGTTTGATATTGGTTCATTACAAGCAATCAAGTGATCCTGTGCCATTGGTTAAACTAAAAGGGTTGGTTTGCTATACAAAACATACAAAAATACAATCGAGTATGTTCAGTCTTATAATCAACATCAGTTTCAACACTCTACTTTTGTATTAATAGTTTAAACTCATTGACCAATCTAATGAAATTGGTTGATATTTTATTCGTACTGAGTGCGACAGCAACCGCCAATGCAATACTGATACCGACTGATAACAATGGCTCACCACAAGCATCAGGCACTTCGAGTCAAATGTCTGGCCCAACCGATGAACCTAATCCAGGCACTTCAAATGAATATCAGGAAGAACCAATGTATATAGTTGATCCGAGTACTTCCAGACGAGGTCGAAAACGGCCAATTGATGAACTTGGTCCAAATATTTCTGAACAAGATTGGAAAGCCATAATTGATAGACCTGATCCAGGAATTCCAAAAGACTGGCAAGACTTGGTTGATGCAGTCAATTCAAATATTCTCAAAGACCAGCAACAATCAATTGATCAACCCAGTCCGAGCACTCCCAAACGAGGTCGAAAACGGCCGATTGATGAACACGGTTCAAACATTTCCAAACAAGATCAGCAACAATCGATGAATCAACCCGGTCCGAGTGCTTCCAAACAAAGTCGGAAACAATCAACTAATGAACCCGGTCTCGTATTTCCCGACAAAAACTGGCAACGCTTAATAGATGAAGCTGATTCAAACACTTTTGAAGAATGGCAAGAACTGTTTGATATAGCTGGTTTAAATACTCCCAACCAAAATGAACAACAACCAATGATTCAGTCCAATCCAAGCACTTCCAGTCAAGACCAACAGCAATATTCAACGGATACAATTGATTCAAGCATTCTTGACGAAAACTGGATAGACCTATTTGATATAGCTGATTCAAGCACTCCCAACCAAGTTTCTGGTCCAATTGATCAAGACGGTCTAAACACTTTCGATCAAACCCAGCAACATCCAGTGGATGCAATTGGTTTAAGCATTTCCAACGAAGACTGGCAAGAAATAATTGATGCAGCCAATCCAACTACTTCCAACCAAGACCAACAACAATCAATGGATCAATCCAATACAAGCACTTCCAGCCAAGACCAACACCAACCGACGGATGAAAACGAGTCAGATAATGCTGTTTCAGATCAAGTGACTGGATTAAGTGAACAGAGTCAGAGAACCTTTGATGGTATAAATCAAAGACTTGTAGCATCTAAAGTAACACGAGACAAAAAATACAAAGAATATCATGAATATATAGCTCTTGGATTGAGACAACGGTTAGCGTTGTCAAGCGAAGAGACGTCTGAATTAGGGTACAACCCAAAAACTGAAATACGATTGAAACATGAGTATGTAGCGGCAAGAAAAAGAGTATACGTTATCAGACAACAATTGAAAAAGTTTATGAAAAGGCATGGTTTAGAATTTCAAGAGCCGGAATCAGATTCAGATTGATGATTTGTCGATGAATTCAATTTTGAATAAATTTAAACTTTCTGGTGTGTTGATATTTGTCGAATATTGTGAATGGGTCAACAATCATATCATTGATTGTATACTGTGTTGGGTATTACATCAACAGTTATTGGATTGTTGATTGATACATTGACACGGTTTGTTCCATATACATCAATAACCTGATAACAACCAGTGTTACTTGCAAGGATAGCATATTCATAGATACTTTCAACAATATACTTTGAATTATGACGTTTCATGCGTTCAATAATATCATTTCCGTCAATCAGATCCAAAACAATGTCAATATCCATATTAATCATGGATTGATTGTTACCATTAAACAATAATGTATTATCTGAAATATTAAATTGAATTGTCTTTTCAGTATCTACATTTTGCAGCATATACCCAAATTGAATATCAAGCCAATATCCAATGTTTTGATTGGTGATTTTTCGGTATATTTTGCATCAACTCTTCCACATTGGTGAGCATGTGTCTTGCACTGTATTGTTTTGTATTTTGGGTGGAAAGGATGTTTGTTGATATGTCTATTAAACTGTCGCTTTAACTTGCTTGCTTGGTTCCAATGCTCTATTTGTAGTTGAATCAGTTGCTTGTACGCCTTTGTTGGTTCAACTCGACTCCTGAATCCTTGGATACGTTTTGTAAACCGCAACTTGACTTTGACGAGTTTAACATCAATGTTCACCATTGATCCAATCATTTTCATGATATTGTTATTGGGGTTTTCCTAATGGCAACAATAAATCAACGACAAAACTCAATCCGAGCATCTCGTAATGGACTCTGTGTGAGCCAATTAAACCACTATTTTTGTCCAAATCAGAATTACTTTGTAACAGGTTTCCAACAGGTTTCCAACAGGTTTCCAACAGGTTTCCAACAGGTTTCCAACAGGTTTCCAACATTTCCAACGAGTTTAAACAATAATAGAAAGTAAATCCAATCCAATTGTTTGTTGATACCATTCCAAAATGTATTTTCTTGGGTTTATTCAAAACCACCTCAATGACATTACACATCACAAGCACATCCTTAAGATCCAAGTATCTACAAACTTTGGTCGTGAACTCGGTCTTGATCAAACCTAAAAACGGTCAAAAGTATCATGTTGTTGAACGAAATCTAATCAACCATCTTGTGAAAGTAGCAACCCACTATTTGTGCAATGATATTGAACCTATTACTCATGAAATCATACCTCGATATATGCTCAAGTTAGGCAACCCAATCAAAGTAGATCCCAACAAACTCTTGAAATCAAACATTCAATTCCTTGATGAAAAGTATCATTCAAAATCAATACAAGCCACTTTATCATTGAATCAATGAGTTGCTGAACAAGAGTTACTACAAGACATTGTATTGTATGTATATTTTACATTCTGGCTTAGTACTTTGATCAAAAGCCATCATCACACTGTAACGGACGCTCAGATCAATGTAGACCGAATGGCTCATCATGTATTTAGCGATTCAGATGTTCTTGATAAAGTGATGGTAAAACAGCACACATTACAGCATAAATTGTATCAAATGGTAATGAGTGCCGATGTAGACGCCAAACATGTTAAATATATCATACTATGAATCCGTAATCTTGATGGAACCCAGCACCATTTCTTGGGTCAAGCAAGTGCTGGAAAAATACATCCAGTTCATCGTTTGCCATATTGACACTTGGCTTGTTGTATCTGATATTCCAAATCTACCGCATACAGTGGTATTGTTGGTGAATCATCAATTACATTCAAAGTATGTTTGATAGTTATTGTGGTATTATTTTCAAACGATTTGCTGATTTGAGGTAGCCAGTAAGTTATCATGATTGTATTGTTTGGATTTTGGCAAATATTGATTATTTTCAATAACCATTGACTATTTCCTATTTTGAATACTGGTATCTGGCCATGGGATATGATGACAAATGACTTTAATGTGTCCAATTTCAATTTCAATTCTGATTGGGATTGGGATTGGAATTCCTGTTTTCATGCAATTGGTCAACGATTTTGAATATTCATTTCCGTCAACCCAAAATACATTACATCCAGTTTTGAAACAAGTCTTCAAACAAGGTTTTGATGCAAGTTCTGTACAATAGTCACATCCTGTTGTTCTGGATTTGCAATTCTTGTCATGATTGTGTTTTTTATACAGAAATACTGATGTTTTACAATTATCATGCTCACAATTAGTCATTTGTGATTTGATGGTTCTTTCCAGTATCATGTTGTGTAAAACTCGGACAGTCCTACAAATCGGACAGTTCCATTGGGTTCAAGATATACAGGATATACAAAGTGATTGGCATCCTGACATTGAATCAAAAGTGTTGTAACAACTTCATGGCAAATGGAGCAAGTGAGTGTTTTGATGGAGTTGGTAGCTTACATGGATTTCATTGATTGTGATTTATAATAATCGTACAGAAAATATAATATTGTATTTTGACTATTATTGATTGACATAATGTTTGATGTTGGACGATACAATCGATACAGTCGATACACAGATTGAAAGAATATTGTTCATTCAGAGTAGATTAACAAGTGATTTCCACAACGATGGACATGATTGACATGATACCGAGTTGTCTCACCAAAGTGTAAAAAGACTGCACTATCAGTTCCACGATCATTGGTAGCAACATCATCATCACTGGAATCTGAATGTGTCATCAATTGATGAGACATTGTTGGTTGACAAACTGTCTCACTGCAATGGAAAGAGACATTTGAGTTGCTTTCATTATTGCTTGAATTCAAAAGTGTCAACATCAACTGTTGGTATTCACACTCACTACAATGACAACTATTGCTGTAACAGAAACCAGTCTCTTGTAATGAATACACAGTTTTATCGAGTATTTTCAATAATCAAAGTAGTACTCGAGTCCATCCATTTCTCGATGCTCTTACTCTGGTAATCCACAGGAGTGCAGCCATCATCATCATATGGACAATACTCATCATCAGATTCTACACCACCAGCCATACGCCAAATGAGACATGTTGTCTTGTGTAACTCTAGTGCGTTCCTGTTTGGTAGTCGAGTGAGATTGTTGTGAATGAAATACAATGTCATTTCACTGTTGGATTCGACTGTTTGTCGATTGTCAATCCATCTCTTTTGCCTTGTTCTGCGGATAACTTTCAAATCTTCAATTGTCTCAATCCACTTCTTGTGCTTGTCACTTGTCAGATCATTCGTCTCATTGATCACTTTGATCACCAGTTTGTCATCCACTACATCCACATATTGCTTTAGTTTACCAAATTGGTCATGGCACTTGATACACAACAACAGTCCGTTCTGTATTTGATGTTTCTGTGTCAAACCAGATCGTAGCAAGATGGATGGTTTGTTGTATGCCATTCCAATGTTCTTTTGGGATATGATGTGTGCTCCTTGCAAGGACAACTTATTCCAGCAAAACAAGCAGACTGTATCTCTTCTCGACAGCATTCTTCAAGTACTTGTGCTGTATCTCACTCACTTTTGCAGCATAGTCCAGATCATCAGCAGAGTTGGTTCTTGATGTTGGGTTTGATGAAACCGGAGTGTGCCAGCTGGATGAATCGTTGTAGTCTTTGTGGAATGGCAGTATGTAATACCCAAACATGTCATCAATGAATGTACAATGATGTTTTGGGTCTGCCAACTGGATCTTGGTTGAGAATTCCTGCTGCTCTGCAAATTGGTTGGCAGTCAGCAGGTTGTGCAGTCGAGTGATGTGTGAGGTTTCTCCCTCTTGGATGATGCCCAAGAAGAAACCTCGTTTGTTGTCATCCTGCCATTCAGACTTGACTCTCTGTGTTGGTATGGCTTGAGTGCTGATTTGGTAATATTCATTCAACAGTTGTGTTGTTGCTGTGTTTGTTGTTTCAATATTCATTTGATGTTTTTTGACAAAAGAATGAAACTCGAACCAACCAAAATAATTGCAGTCAACAATCAAATTGGACAATATTCACCAATAATCTTTTAAACTCGTACAGTTTGTACAGTGTTGTCATGAAAGTCATGGCTTGACACATTTTCATCAAGTTATCATCAAGTTATCAGTGAGTATCAGTGAATATCAATCAACAAAATTGGTCTCGTTGGTCGATACACTACTGATGCACTTGCATATGAAACTGTACGAGTTCAATCAATGTTTCTTGCACGGTTGTCAAATGTTCAGATGAAATCAATCTCATGGCAGGACACAAAATGTGACATTATCAAATAACAACCAATACTAAACAATTGGGTTACCACACAATGGCTCATTCGGAATGCAAGTTGAATCCATTAGTGGTCATTGATACCATCAAGTGTATTGAAAAATACACAATGGTTTGTAATGGTAAATTGATTTCAAACACATCACCGCTCATTTATCACTGGATACATATTTGAAAGTATCCAATATCACTTGATACTGAATGTCCAAGTGTCTGCTCAGAGTTGCTCACAATATTGACGATATTACAACAACATGCTGATTCAAATTTGGAAAAAGTAACATTGGCTTGTTTAATCTTGAATTACTGAAATCAAATGGTTTACAATGATCCGATCATGTCAAATATAACCGATTGCAATTATTTTGGAATCATGTCAGATTATGACAATCGGTTCGAGTTGTTTGAGCCAATACAGTGTGATGGAGTGATGGAAATACTCGAAATACACACAATACAACTCTTGCAGCAGTGTATGAAACTATCAAGCATGACATGGTATGGCATGACATGAAGGGTATAGATTAGACTTGATAACAATGTGTACGATTTGGACTTTTAAATTTGAAAATAGCAGCTCTGTTCCAACATCACATTGATTGTAAATGTCGATGTTGTTTAACCTTGTACAAATGACCATTTCACATGCAACTTTAGCCTGATATCGAGTATTTTCAAATGAATGCAAGCTTGCGACACTCGCTTGACTTGTTTGGCTCGGATTCTGATTGATATTTACGATATCGATGCAGAGTTGCATTCCAGAATGAATGTGTATAATCTGATGTAGTCAATCGTTTGGTTTCATTGTTATCAGTCATTGACACCAGTGATTGCATTGATTGCAAATAGTAGTCCAAGTAATCATGCATAAACAAACACCGGATAGTCACTGATAAACTGATGGTATCCAATGTATACATGACACATTGCATAGTTCCATTTAATTGCCAGCAATGTGTGATTGGATTACTCGAGTCATCAAGCAGTTTTCAAGCAGTCATCAATCAGTTGTCAAGAACAATCAAGTCATGTCCAATAAACTGTCTGATGTGCAGGTGTTTTGGCATTGGTCCGTTGGTCCATTAGTACGATTGTTGGTTGGCAATTCGGACTTGTAAATGACAATTGATTGTTGATTGTTGCATTGGTGTCCATATGTGTCCATATGTGACTCATTGTATACGGAACAGGACTGACAAGTGTGTCTGAATTGATGACAGATGATACAGTCTATCCAACAAAAAGTAATACATTGATTGTGTCTGCATGGAAATAAGCTTTATAACTCACACTTCTGAATGTATGAGAATCAATATTCAAACAACAGATACGTCCAATGACTCTTGCAAATGCATTGATAGAGTGTTGTTGAATAATTCGAGTGTTTACAAATCAGCATCACTGGAAATAGTTACTGTTATTCAGACAGTCACTTGTCCAGACATTACAGTTGTAATATTACACATTTTCCATTGTTGCTGGATACCAATATGCCTACATTTAAAGATGAATACTACCAACAAAATATTCCATTAGAACTGCAACTGTTGCTTCAAGATCATGGACATATCGTTGTAAATCGTTTCAAATATCAGTCCATTACCTCATTTTAAACCAATCCATCAATCTCTGATTTGGCTCGTTCAATACTCTCCAGCAACTTGCATTCCATTCCTACAACGACTTGTTCATCGTATCCATGTTTACAGCGTTTGTTGTTTTGATTGCGGCTTCCATCAATCCAGTATAATGAAATTTACCATTTCCTTTGTAGAATCTGTCTATAATGTCTGTTTTAATGTAGTTTTTGACTGTTTTTCGATACAAAAGTCGACAATCATTGCTTTATCATCGACTTGACCGCAGTTTGATGAGTTGACAGCACAATCGCATATACACAGGATACGAAATATCAAATCCAATCAAAGTTGGGTATTGTTTGCTGTATCCTTGTCAACTCGGACAATAGCACCACATGGCAATACTTGATAGCAATGTAGACTGTTTTGGTGCTGTGAGATGCAATGATACAACGAGTTTCAGGACCCATTCCAATATGATGCAGCATATTGCAGACAAACAGTTCATTTGTATCTGGTTGCCTGATACCTTTTACATTGTATTGTGTGGGTCTGTAATGACGAGTCTTGATGTAGCAACAAACAGTCAGTTGTTGTTGACATTCCAAGCGAATCTGGTCTGGATTCCGTTTTTCTTTGGAGATAATGAGATGTCAAACAACTGGTCAATGTCAGCCTTGCAGTGTTGAATGACAGTATTGATTGACAGCAGTTTGAATCGGTTACATATTTCCATCCAGATACTGTGATATTGGCAAAAAGGATCTTGCAGAGTTGTTGGTTGTTGATGAGCAAGTTGGATATAAAGTTGTTTTCAATCAATCTGTTGACAGTCATGAGAGCATACTTTGATTTGTATGTACGCAATACTGCTGTCATCTTGTGTATGATGTTTTCTATTTCCACAAACGCATTCCACTTCCAGCTGTTTTCTTTGTAGACATTTGATGTTGTGTAACAATGAGGGTGTAAAATGTAGTACAGAAATAAATGACTAAATTACAATTATCCCAACGGATTTAGCACTCTTGTTCAAGTAAAACAGTATCATCCGATATTCATTATACACTACTTGTACGTTGAATCATGCCAATCACTTGCTATTTTAACAAGCATGGAATATCACGGCACATATTGATGACCATCTAATAGCCGAGTGTCAACTCATTTCAGTTTTGGTCTATGCTCATTTCTTAACCCTAACCCTTGACCATAGCCATTTTTAGGGTGAAGCTTTATAATCAACCATATGATATTCGAATGTATGGTCAGATAGCAGCTCAGCCAAGGTTACAGGTTAACATATAAAGGGAGATCCCTTCAAAGTTTGGCATTGATGGCAAATCAACAACCCTGACAACAACACTAACCCTTAAAACGGCCATTCAAGGGATATGATCTTACTATTTTTATTCAATAACCGACATAAATACAATCCAAAACTTGACCTGTTGAATAACATTACAACTTGCTCAACCAAACCAGTAGAATGAAACTTGCAGTTGCTGTATTGTCATCGATCTTGCTTGCATGCTCAGTTACTATTGCCAATCCAGTTGATCCCAGTGCAACTACAGATGTTGAATCTAGCACCTCGCCAACTCCTAATCCAAACGGTATAGGCATGGGTGGTCTTAATCCACTTCCAAACATCATCAAGGATTTGCTCGAAAAACACCTAAAGCTAAATCATAATCGTAATCATTATGGAAGAATATGCAACTCCTTAAAATCTGAATATGAGGATCAAAAGAAACTGGTAATGAACTTGGGGAGAAAGATTCAAGTTTTGAAACATAAAGCTCAAGGAAACAGTGGCGGTCCAAAATATGATGATGAAATTCAGGAGACTAAGGTTGATCTTAAAGCTCAAAAAGCCAAACTTGCCGATCTTGGAAAAGACTACCATGAGTGCGAGTCAGAATGTAATAGTATTAGTTTTGAACTGGAACTCGTCGAAATAGATCTTGTGGAACTCGTTTTTGGAGGGCCTTGGGATCCTAAATCATTTGGTCAGCAACTTTCGCTTATCGGAAAACATCCTTCCGTTATGGAATACTTTGACGGATCAGGTAATAAAGGACAATCATCAGGACGCAGTAAGCGTCTTGGTCAGAAACCTAGTGGCCAACAACAGCATCAAGATTCACAACCATCACCGGATACACCATCTGAATCTGGATCCACTGGACAGGGAGCTTCTTCCAATAGACGGAAAGGTTCATCCAAGTTTATGGGTAAATTTGGATCATTCTTTGGACGACCCAAAAAGTGATGATCGCGAACCATTGATTTGAATGTTAATTTGGACTTGTTCCAACCGATTCAATTGTCATTATGGTTTAATTTACAATAAATTTGGATTTGCATGCATTATATCTGATTATTACACAGTCTTGGTTGGCATGATATCATATTTTACATTGACACTTGTATTTCCAATGCAATACAATACAGTTGATTGTATATTGCATAGTTGTACACATTGATGATACTGACATGCATGTGTGTATCGTGTCAATATGATATTGCTTGGAATGTCGTATTGACACATGCAACACCAATACCAACAACAGTCATGTGTGTTGATATCAGATCCGACCAACTCGATCAATTTGACTCGTTGATTGTGGTGTCAAAATGGTTGCATCAATAGCCTGACTGATCACACACATCAGTCGCAGTATCAACTTTGTCGTGTGTCAAGTATCACATGTTGAATATACAATGCCAACAATATGGCCATTATGCACATGTTGATGTATCCAATGATCGTATACTGGTCGATTGGTGTAATATGATCACACCAATGGAGTGTGATAATCATGATATTTGCAGCAGTATACCATATTTCAACTGTTGATATCGCGCATCCAGTATCGACATGATCATCCAGATACAGTGATGGATTCCAACAATGCATACCATGACTGAGCTATGCGATCATGATGTGTATTCAAACAACTACGATACACACTGGATTGATCCAATACATGCACGACTTGAACACACCACATTAAAAATACATATAATATCAGTTTGTCACTAATGAATTGTATTCAGTCGAGTTTATTGAGAGTCAT